GTCAAAGCCCTCGCTACTGATGCAAGGAGAAGATCTACCGTCACGGATGAGACAGGTAACGAGCGGAGACTTGATGTTAAACGATCTCGCTTGTTTGTAGAACCCGGTAGGTCTTCATCCAAATCATGACTAGGACAAGTGAGTCTGCGACAATCAATGGAACGCGGGTGACCAAGAGCACTGTAGAACAGCAGTCAGTGGTATTTACATTCATGGATTACTAGCGGGAGCATACACCTAATTAATTCAGGCTGAGTACGTTTATTATAACAGTGACAACTCAAAAAACTTACGCTTCGTCCAATTCATCGGAGATGTCAGACGTCTCTAAGCATGTATCAATTGGTGGGGGCAAATATTCGGTGGATTCGTGGGCTAAGCCATACTTGGAGGGATGTCGGCGTCAAGTTCAGTGACGGTCTCGAAGTCTGGAAGAGGATTGTACATACAGCATTTGTGATCACGGGTGTAAGACCGAGAACAAGCACAATTATGAAAAGGACGTAGTTCTGGTTCCATATTGCGCACACACGCAGTGCAGAAAAGACTACCAATGGTTGGGTTGCGCACGAGACGGCTCTGATGAATTGTGCTCACCGGCAATCTGCACATACCCTGCGAATTGGGGGATTTGGTTTATCGAACTAATAGCTTTGCTGTTGCTGCATTTGACATCATTCTCAGGACCACCCAAGGCGAATTTTGCAAGACATACCACTGTAACAGGTCTACGTCAGATTCAGATGCACAAAAGAACAATGGCTTACTATTAATCCTTGTGCCATGATGAAGGTGAATGTCGCCTGAATAATTAGCGTCCATCGGGTGAACACAATGAGGAGGGAAACAATAGAGAACTTCCGTCGCCATACAGTGCGAATTTCTTGGTCGAGCGTGATCAAGTGATCGTAGAATATCAAGGCTGTAACATCCGGTGTAAGCACTCACAACTCTTTCACAGAATCGTAATTCACCTGTAGTGGCGAACACTGTACTGTCGGAAGTGATACTAAAAACCCCACGTTAGCGGACGCGTACAGTTCAGGGCGGGATACGTACGCTTGCGAGACTATGGATGGTGGCAACTCGAACGACATCTTGCTGGAAGCTTCGACTGCAGGTGTGAAGAGCCTGAGGCTATATGTCGTATATTAGGCACACACAAGGAAGCTATATATGTACCAATCCCATCATGCTTCTCGCGGGTAGCCGAAGATCCTGTGTGGTGTCGAACAGTGTTCGATGTTCCTTCATGGTTGCGAACACTGACTGCGAAGATGTTGCAGCTTCAGTGCGCTCTCTTGCGAGGAGCGGCTGTACTGCACGTCTAGTAGACTCCAGAGCCCTTGACTACGAGGGCAGAGTTCGGCCGCCGACAAAGGAGGAGCGCCTGTAGGGTAGCGCTTGGGATATCATAAGAAGAACAGATAGATTATAGGTGTATCATTGTGCAGATTGTGCCTTACAAATGATATCGGCAGATGTGGGAGCATCAGCGGCATCGCAGCTTATCTCAGTTGAAGAGAAGGATCTGTTCGGAGTCTTTCCCTAGCTTCAATTTGGCCAAGGAAGTAACGAGAGGGTTTGTTGTCAGACGGATGGGATCCATCTCCGAGCAGACTGTGGGCCTTTCTACCACCAAGGGATCGCCTGCGGGTACACCATCCAGTCAATAGCTATAAGATATATTGAATTTGAGGATTCTTTACCTCCAAGGACATGGAGCCTCGCATATTTCTTCATGCTATATCGCAAAGAAATGACCACACATACTGATTTATTTGCTCGCAACACGTCCAAGCATCGCGCGCATAACCCCCACGGCGGGGGTTATCTGGTCGATACCGAAACGGATGAAATACGACAACTTGAGTTGCACAAAAAGGTTTCATGGTGTTTGGCCAGTATTTCACATGCTGGCCGCCTCGCAATGCAACGCGAGCCCCTCGCGCCGCAAGTCGGAGGTTGATTCTTGGCGTCCTACTCCTACCGGTAGCAAAAGACCTCAGACTCTGCAGCATACCGCGCTATTACACGACCTTGAACGTCGTGATAGAGCCCCTTCGCACACGAGAGCGATCTCCGTACCCGTGCGGTCACTTGATCTGCAACCTGCTACGCGTCGCCGACATTAGTAGTGGGTAGCGCACGAGCCGCAACCTTGCGGAGGAGAAATTCGATGAATGGGTCAATAGAATGCTCCTAGGGGAGAGGAATAGGGTCGACATATGCGGGAGAAGGTACACAGGAGAATGCAGTGCCAACTCTCGCGAGCTGTGAACTCTGACCACAAAGCCGCCACGTGTGCCGAGTCCTGTATAACTAGTACTCAGCAGCCCGACTCGTCATCCGCTCACTGAAACTCACTTTGCTGTGCTTACACTCGTCATGGTCTGAGGGCCGCTTCCGAATTGCATGCGAAACGCCGCTCCACTGCCGCACACTCGGCTGAAGAGTCCATTGGAATGGGATGGACGAGAAACGAAGATGCGAGCGGAGTCCAGATGATCCTGGGAGAGGGGAAGCGTGCCGCGATGGGAAATACGGGACGGCGTCAGGCTTCGGGAAGGGTCCACCACTCCGATGGACGATGAACCGATGACTCGGCCCATTCGTCATGCGACGGGTCCTTATTTGCGTGTGCGACCTCAGGCTGTCGCTTACGAAGTGCCGCATACTTCCCGCCCTCCGAGTTAGACCGCCAGCTGCTGCCACAGTACACGCGAAGAGGGTTATGTCGGACGGGAGAGAAAAAAAGCGCTGTTCTAGCTTCGATAGAGGTTGAGATTTCGACGCGATGTGTCAAGCTAGGCCGCCCTGCGATGGCCCGAGCTCCGCCCCCGCCGCTGAAACCTCGTGGCGTGGTGATGGCGGAGTTAAACGTCGGTGATGCGCCAATCGCTACTGAAGCGCTCAAACTTCGGACACGTCAACTCTGTAGGCTCATATCGATAAGAGACGAGCGAACAGTCCAGGGTGAGCACGAAAATATTGATTTAGCCGCTACTCAAGTCAACTTACTATAGCGCTGCCACTGCTCCCCACACATGCCCGCCGCGCTGTGCTCCCCAACCCAGAAGTGCGTTGAACTTGTTTTCTTCATAAGGCTCCCATGCTCGAACATGTCGTCCGCGCCGCATCTAACGATGTCCCACTAGCTTCATTTGGGCATTGAGATGCTGAGCTCCTGCCGGGCCTTGTTTTGACTCGTTGCAGCGTCCAAATCGTCGATTGAATGTGGTAGGTGCGACTGCACATCTCAGCGAAAGAAGTCTGACAGCCAGGCCTTCAGCTCGAGGTACTGTGACCAAAAGAGCAGCTTGGTACGATGCGTTTCATTTTTTTTCTTATCTGTTCTTTCCTTTCCCAGTCTATCGATCACAACAAGATCCGCCATTTCCTTCCCAAGCGGCACGCTGAGCATAGGATGCTGGAACTGAAGAGCCGGGC